GTGATTATTCGTCGTCATGCGTGGACTAAATGCGTAACAAATTTAAGATCACGCATGGGTTTCTGCCAAATGCGTGTTACATCCACAATCACTTTGAAGCGGGACCGTCCCGCACGATGCGCGAAAAACGGTTGGTAATGCGTTTTGTAAGCCAGGACCCAATAGTATTTTGTTACGTTTCTTCACAGAGGGGGTTCGTCCGAATCTCTTGAACCCCCTCCCCCTCACCTGGATCCGCCACTGGGCGTTAAGTTGCAAAATAAGATGATATTCAATGATTTTAACTACTTCAGCTGACTTTTTTGCTTCCAATGTGAAGGAGGCGTAAGTTTTTTTTTGGACAGCATCCCAAACAACACCACCTCCCCCCACCACCTCACACACTCCCTAGACATGCCACTGTATAGAGACCATTCCAAATTTGATATTTATTTATATTTTACTTAAGCTCTTATTAAATCATATTTTAAATGATATTGATAAATGTCCATTAAAAAAAAATGTCCATCAGAACACCTCCTTATAATTATAGTAATATAGCCTAGGCCCACAAACAATTGCATCTTCTTGGCAAATGCGTTTCTATTCATCTCTGGTTGATAGGTAATGCCTTGAATCGGCAGAGGGGTGTAAGGTATTATATTGAATAGCTGACAAAAACATTTACAAAAACAGTGATTAATATCATATCTTCGTAAGTACTTATCCAATTTTAACGGGAAAAGCGTGAAAATGTTCAAAATCATGAAATACAACATTATTCGTAGCCCACTATATAACTTATGGCATAACATTATAAAATAAATGTGCATCAGTCAAGGATTGCTTATGTGTAGGTGTGAAAACCTAAGAGATTAATCACAAGATAAAGGCTAATCCTTTTTTTCCATTAAGCCATGGATCTCAACCTGCAATGTATACAATTTCAGCCCCTATTCTTATAGTATTATTATCTCCACCAGGAGATATATGTTTTCAGTTTTGTAAGTTTGTATGTGTGTGTGTCATATTTTGGTGTTTTCTTGTGTTTTTTTTTTTGTACGACATAAAATGACTGCACAGATACTTGATAATTGCAGGGAATGAAGAAATGATTCAATTTTGGTGACGGTCTTGTATATGGGTGTGGATGTGAGAGCCATTTAAAGGTTTTAAAGTCAACGTCCTAGACAAGATATCTCAAAACTGATATGAATGAAACTTTTGTGAAAGCTTAACCAAGTTACAGAAGAAAGTTACCAAGTTAAATAAAATAAAATAAAATAAATAAATAAAATAAGAAATTATCAAGCATTGGTCACATTCCAAATTTGGGGGTGAAACCTGAGGCTCATTTAAATGTTTAAGGTAGTGCATGTTTCTTGTGTTCGAAATATTTCAAAAAGAGCTGCACGGATCTTAAAAGTTACAGGGATTATCAGGTATGGCCCAAAGATGAGGTGAATTTTGGGCGTTATTTGGAGTAGGGTGTGCATATGAGGACCATTCAAAGGAAAAAGTCCCAATTCAGATATTTGAAAAAAATATTTAACCTACAATATTGTCGAGTGCATAAAGACCTCATTTATTTGTGCTACATAAATTCATCTATTATTATTAAATTATTACTATTTTTTTTTACCGTATTACCGTAGGCAGAATATTTAAATTAGTGCAATTGCAGTAATGGTGTACAGTGTTTTATACAGTACTAACTTTTTTTTTAAACTTACTGGGAATATCTTTCATTCATTTTTACATTTAAACATATGACGCTAAAAACCAAATCCCCATATTTCTGTTTCCAAAATATTCCATTTCAACACCAATACATTGCATGTAATTTGTTTGTCAGCTATAAGAGTAAAACCTGCCAGTAACTTTTGTCACGATTTGGCAGGTGTACAACAGATACAATAAAAGGCGTTCGAAAAGTGAAGTGATTATATTTTGGTGTCGATTATTATTATTATTATTATTATTATTATTATTATTATGATAAGTATTGAAAAGAAAGTCATATTTTTTGTTGAACCAGTAATTATGGAGAAAATCAATTCGAGTGCTAGTACTTGTTTCTCTGTTTGAGAGGCATGACAAGCTGATTTCTTAGACCAGTTGCTTCTGCGCAGTGAGAGCTGCCTGCAGAGATGCTTTGATTTGTGCAATGCTTTATATGCTCGTAGAGCTGTAATCTTGGGCTAATGTGATCATGCATAGGTACGGAGCCCCTAAAGGGACATGGTTAGTTAAAATATTTTGAGGGAACGAAATAATATTTCGAGGGAACGAAATCATTTTGAGGGAACGAAATTCCTCGAAATATTATTTCGAGGGAACGAAATATTATTTCGTTTCCTCAAAATATTATTTCGTTCCCTCAAAATAATATTTCGAGGGAATGAAATATTATTTCGTTCCCTCGAAATAATATTTCGTGTATGGTACGCCCACGGTGCCTTCAGCGTCG